AAAAATAAATAAAATAAAATTTGTAAATGAAGCTGATGTACGTGTTTAGGTAACTGAGAGTTGTTTTGTTTTGTTGGTAACTGAGAGTTTTATAGCGTTACTTGTGTATTTCAGCAACACCGCTTTGCTTGAATCAGTCTGTGTTCTGGGCACTAGAGAGCATCCACACTTCGTGAGACACTGGTGAATTTAGAAGCCATTTCCCTTATCTGCAATGAACTTTCACTTGCAAAACAAAACCGAAACATATAATGATGATGCAGAAAAATTGACATTAAGTTATGGGATCTACTTCCCTTTACTGAAGATGTGAATCACTCTTCTTGACAGTCAGCCCAGATCAATAGGTGTTAATTTTTGAAAGCCAGCTTCTTTCCAGTGCTAAGAAAGCATTAGGACAATCACAATGAGTGGCATTTAACTTTCAGTATGTGAAGGCAACACTTTTCGATCCAGACAATTCGTTTAGGCTGGGTGTTTTTTCTTGTCACACTGCCAAGCTTATATACCTAATTTTTGTTCTAGCATCTGTTTCTAACTACTAATATAGTCTAAATCCCAATTTCCATTTCCTCACGAGTCTTAACTTCATCTTCAGAATTCTGCTGAAACTGCTTCTCCTCAAATCAGGAATGACCCTCCTTGTTGCCGAAGCCAGTGGTTACATTTTAGTTACCAGATGATCTTTCTATATGACTTGACACTATCAGCCATTCACTCTCCTCTCCTCAAAACCCTTCTCTCTGCTGTGGTACAAGTCTTTGCTCATTCATTCATTCATTTTTGCCTCTGTAATTGCTCCTTCTCAGCTGTCTTTCTAAACTCCTCTTCCTCTATTTAAAAAATATTATTATTTTCCAGTGTTTTTTTCCCTAACCCCAATATATTGCTTAGTTCAGACCTCTTTGTTTAGCTTCTGATCTATATTCAACTACTTACTTTACTTTTTTACAGAGTTACGGATGCCTTCCCAATATGCAGTCATTCACCTAGCCATATCTGTTGTATGGCTAAGAACAGTCTTCCAAACCATCCCTTGTTCCATATCCCCACTATTGCTCTTGCCAATACTGCCAAAGGGTTCTTGTCCTGGGCTCATGCCTGAGAGTATCCCACTCTGGCTTTCCTTCAGCTTTACTGTTTCCTATGTGCTGAGGAATGTGTAGGGCCAAGGAGATGTGCCCACCCTGGTCATCATGTTCTAGCTACACAGGACTTCGGATGTCCCTGCAACAGGCCTTTTTCTAAGTCTCTTCTATGAGTAGACCCCATTCCTGGTGTGTACTCCCCAGGCTCAAGGAGTCGCCAAAGGCAGCTGTTTGGAAGAGAGGAAAGCTTGCTGTCAGACCTTCAGGTCCCCATGCATATATGCGACAGTGTTGTAGACCAGAGCCAGAAGTCAGAAGAGAAGGAGGATATGCAAGGTCCTCCATTAGTACTCTTATCACTGGCTCCACAGGCATTAAGGGCAGGACTAATTGTTACCTTATTTTTCTTTATATTCCTGGTACATGCTGATAGGTGATGGTTCAACTACCCGTAAGGACTTTAAGGGCAAGGGCTTTAATTTTATATTCTCATATGCTTATGCCTATCACAATGCCTACCCAATACACGTGCTTAGTACATGTTTGTCAAATAAGTTAAATAACACAGCTTGTATTGAACCATTTATAATTATTCCATTTCCTTTATTGTCATTGTAGTTTATTGTAATATTTATATGATTTTAGTCTTATGACTGCCCTTTTTTTTTTTCCAGAAAAAAAAAACAACCTCTAATTTTGTATTATCATTAAATGGGAAAACTAGATTTTAGATATAAAACTGAATTTTATTTTTAAATATATTTTTACAAACTAATTTCATAAAATAGGGTAAGTTAACAGTAGGTAACAGAAAACAGGGTCAGGCAAACATGAAAATCTTGATATAGCAGGACAGTAGTTCTTATAACTAGTTATATTAATAACTGCTACACCCTGAGGGACTCTAGAATACAAGTATGAGAAAGGGCAAGGCTATCTGGAAAATGTAGAGATGCTGGGAAGAGCAGGGACTGGGTTTCCCTGCCAGGTTTCCCATGAATTCAGAGGGGAACCCCAAGATCCTATGGGTCCAGTTCCACTACTGAGTTCATTTGTGAGCATTGTGTTTGTGCATGATGACTTTTAATATAAAATGCACACAATCATTAGAATAATTTTAAATACTGAATCAGCGTGTTTTAATTCACAAGCTGACTTCACTATGGTAATTCATGTTTTAGGTTGGCCGCCCAAGTTCAGTGATCTTGTGGACTTAGAACCCATCTGAAATGTCCCTAGTGCTTCTATAGCTACTTCAGATACTATTTTTATCATAAGCTCACACATTCTGTGACTCACATTTGCTGCTTAAAAAATAGTCTCTTCGGGGTGCCTGGGTGGCTCAGTTGGTTGAGCGTCTGCCTTCGGCTTAGGTCATGATCCCAGGATCCTGGGATCGAGTACTACCTCATGAGGCTCCTTGCTCAGCGTGGAGCCTGCTTCTCCCTCTGCCTGCCAGTCCCCCTGCTGGCGCTCTCTTGCTCGTTCTCTCTCTCTAATAAATAAACAAAATCTTAAAAAAAAAAAAAAATCTACTCGTGATTCCACGGAGAGGTAAAACATAGTTAAGCCACAGCAACAATTTGAGTTTTATGCCTCAATCCTCTCAGGATTCATAATGTTTTATCGTGTTTTGTTTTGTTGATAGTTTGTTTCTTCTGTGTTCACTCTCTACTCTTAACATTTTTAGGCCTAATAAAATTTACTCATTCCAGCGCTTCTCCTCCTAGATGAGATGAGTCTTTCAGGAACACCTCACTAAAGGTATTAAATATCAAAGCAGTTACTCTACATGCCATCATGCAGTCTGTTGTGCCATCACAAATCATGAGTAAAACCCCTCAGTGAAAATGGAAGAGTATTTCTGTGATGAAATGCTCTGTTACAGCTTGGGATCTACTGGTGTTTGGAGTAGGAATTTGGTTTCATAAACAGTTTAAATTGTTTTTGTCATCTAGAAAATAGTTCCCCTTTCACAAGAAGATTTTGAAATGTCTTCAGTCTTAATTTAGTAGTAGTAATGATTCTTGGAGCTCTTTTTGCCTTCACAATAAGTTTTCCAACATTTACAAAGATTTGAGCAGCCCTAATACACATATTTCACTTCCCACTCACTTACGCCTCTGCAGTAGGGCCATACCTCTTCTCATATGCCTGTTTAAAAAACTCTTTCTGAGTCTCTTAAGGTGGCAATTATTTAAAAGGTGGGGGGGTTGACCTCATGGTAATTGAATAGCAAAATGGGGGAAAAAGTACTGTCACATATGTGTCACATACACTGTTCCTTCCCTTTCCTTTGCCTCCAAGCAGGAGTGGTTGACTTGCCTCCCTTTCTTGGATATGCTTTTTGGACTTCTGGCTTCTCTTCCCCTTCAGGGTTCTCTTGAGTGAGAATGTGTATGTTGGAGGTGGAGGGAGCAATGGAAGAAGAGGGTTTGGTTGGCAAGGAACAGGATAGAGCACTAAATAGAATACTGAGAAGAGATGAGCAAGAGAACTACTGGAATAGAAGCAAGAAACTACTCTTTATTAACCCTTGCAATTAAAGCCACAGAGTATTAGGACTGGAAGGAATGCAGTGCTCCTGTAATTACAGTAGTTTAACCTAACAGGTACTCAATAAGTGGGTATTGAATGTAGACATATCTCATTTTGCGGGAGAAGAAATGGAATCCCACAAAGATCTAGTGCCCAGAACCGTTCAACTAGTTAGTTGCAGAACTGGACCAGAACCCAAGTACTCCAATTCCTCAACCACTTCCTTTTCTACTAGAAGATACAATAATGATGGTTTTCTTTTTTTAATTCTTTTTAAAATTCCCATCACCTGGCACAGAGTAGGCATGAAATGTTTTATCTCATTTTATTATTATTTCTTTCATCCTGACAAGTGCACTCCTTAATCCCCATCACATATTTCCTCTACCCTCCATCCATCTCCCCTCTGGTAACCATCAGTTTGTTCTCTATAGCTAAAAGTCTGTTTCTTGGTTTGTCTCTCTTTTTTTCCCCCTCCCTTTGCTCATTTGTTTCTTAAATTCCACATATGAGTGATATCATATGGTATTTGTCTTTCTCTGACTGACTTATTTCACTTAGCATAATACTGTCTAACTCTACCCATGTCATTGCAAATGGTAAGAATTCATTCATTCCTTTTATGGCTGAATGCTATTTCATTGTACTTTTTAAAATACCATTTTATTTTAATACATTCTGAGCTCAACCTTATTATTTTTTTTTAAAGATTTTATTTATTTATTTGACAGATAGAGATCACAAGTAGGGCAGAGAAGCAGGCAGAGAGAGAGGAGGAGGCAGGTTCCCTGCTGAGCAGAGAGCCCAATGTGGGGCTCGATCCCAGAACCCTGAGATCATGACCTGAGCTGCAGGCAGAGGCTTAACCCACTGAGCCACCCAGGCGCCCCTCAACCTTATTATTTATGTGAGTGGCTGGTAGCACTTACTAGGTCTGTTTATGAGTGGCAATCTGGTAGAAAGAATATGGATATTGGAGTCAACCTGGGTCCAAATCTCCACTTTGCCCATTAGCACTTGGGCAAGTACCTTAATCTTTCTAAACAGAGACTTTAACATCTCAATAAATAAAGCTAATAATAGCTACTACATAGGGTTGTTGTAACAAATGAAACAAGGTTATTTGGCGTGTTTGGTTTGGTGTGTGACATAATTCAGAAGTTTCAGTAAATATTTGTGAAATGAATAAGGGGTAACTGTTACTGTGTTTGGTCTCCCTCATGGGGAGTCGACATGCTTTACCTGCAGACGTGTCCTGTTTTTTACAGATATGTGTCCTTAATGCCAGAGTTAAACTGCAGTTTGGCTAGCTTCTTCTTGTATAGAAATGTCTGCTTCAGCCTCTTCACAGCCTTCCAATTTTTTAAATTCCAGACTAATCCACGGAGGACAGTTGTTGAATGGATTGGCAGGCCCAACGGTGATGAATGCAGCTCCATTCCTCTCTACGACGTGGTTTTCTGCCGACGAACGGGCCACTGCAACAGCCATTGCATCCATGCTCAGCTATCTTGGTGGAGCATGTGCATTTTTAGTGGGGCCACTTGTTGTTCCAGCCCCCAATGGGACGTCGCCTCTTCTTGCTTCAGAGACAAGCAGGACCCACATTAAAGATCTCATAGAGACTGTATTGTATGCAGGTATTTTGCAGTTTATTTTCTTCCCGCTCTACTTTGTCTTTATCCCAGTCCTCTTTACTCAACCCTATATGCCAGATCACTTCTTATGAAATACTTACGAGGACCAAAATGTACATATGCATGTGTGTGCTTTTCTTGTCATGGAATATGAAGATGCCTTTTTAAAACTTACCCTTTTCAGGGAGTTATTAAGTTTAAAATGTATCATTGCTGCATGGAAGTTTATTTCTTAATTTTACTCTTCCCATCCGTTTACAACTAAGCACTGTAGAACACAATGTCTAGTGTCTTTTGTAGATAACTTATGAGAACAGAAAACTAAATATCATGGTTCACAGTAAATATTTGTCAACCATCTATTGGTAGCCGTTAAGCCCATTTTCTCCCTTGCAATTTCCCCCCTCCTCTCTGACCTGGTAAACCCTGGTCATGCACAGTCTACTCTTCTCTTCGTTTCCTATCCTCTCTATGTTTACCCTATTAATAAGGGATAGACCCTTCCAAAACATTTTCTTGGCCCTTTCCCTTTATTTCTAGGGCTAAGCCCTACTCCACACTTACATTACAGTCTCTTACACACTCCCTGACCCTGTATGCCTGTTTGTTATTTCCTTCTGCATTCAGAAGACTCTTTGTAAGTTCACATATATACTAAGCACTGTGCTAAGCACTGGGAATTGGTAAGATCACTGAGAAGACCATTGCAATACAAATGGATACACAGAGTTTGAGAGACATAATTTGCCTGAGTTTGGAGAAAAGTTGAAGAGGTGTGGAAGGCTTCATCAAGAATGTGATCATTAAAGTTAAGAATTTCATAGGACTTCAGCAAGTGTTCAAGTGAGATAGGGCATTCGGTATAAAAGGAATAGCCACTTCAGGGGCAGATACGGTATGAGAGAGCTCAGTATGTCCAAAGAACTGCACACAATTTCATACGGCTGAAGTAGTGTAAATATGTGTGTGCTTGGGTGTAGGTGACAAGTGGCCGAAAATGAGGCTGGAGAGATACAGGACCATATTATGATGAACTTTGTATTAATTTATTCACTTATTCATCGAACACATATATTTTGACCTCCTATGTATCTGTCCCTGTGCAAGGCACTGATGTAGACATGGTTCATGCTCTCACAGAACTTACAGTGTCGCAAAGGAACAGACAGGAAAACAGTTGTAAAACAGGGTGGTAATTGCTATCGCCAAAGGTTGACAGTTGCTCTGAGACCTCAGGAGGAGAAAGCTCACTTAGATTTCAGAGGCCAAGTAGAGCTTCCTGGAGATGCAGCATCTATGGTGGAGCCTGGGGGATGAGAGGAAGTTAGCCAAATACTGCGGGCAGAGGAAGAGCATACTGGAAAGAGAGGGAGCCATGGAGGAGAAGCCTTGTAAGGGATGAGAGCCTGGCATATTTAAGCAATTCAGAGCCCACAGTGGCCTCCGCTTGGTGAGAGTCATGACAGATAATTAGCTAAAGAGGTAAGCCAGACCATACAAGCGTTCTAAGCAGAGCTGATGGGTTTGAAATTCACTAGATTGCAGGCAACAGCCACACTCTGAAGAATTTTACACCAGAGAATTATACAATGAGATTTACATTTCAAAATATGTTTTAGAGGGAATGAAGCAAAAGCAGAGGCTATGGCATATATAAAGCCTTTAAACTGCACTGCCCCCACCAACAACTCCTCTTAAAGAGAAAAATTTGAGGGACACCTCACTGAACTCAGTTGGTGGAGCGTGCAACTCTAGATCTTGGTGTTGTGAGTTTAAGCCCCACATGGGATGTAGAGATTACTTAAAAATAATATATTTAAAAATATAAAATAAACAAGTTTTTCTTTGTTTAAAAAATAAAGAAAAATGAAATTTCAATGTAAATAAGTAAAACTGAAAGCAGTGTCACATAAATTTTAAACTTTATTTTGGTCACATTGTTCTTTTTATTGAAAACTTATACAATAATAGTGTCTTTTAAATGACTGGATTTTAGGCACTATTGGGCAGGTATGAATGCTGTACACCCTTCTGGTTCATGGTTCCAGTGAAGCTGAAGCCTCTACTCAGAGCTTCCCAGTTATTGCTTTAGTGCTTTCATATTTGCCAACCTGCTTTCCTGAGATATTGTCCTATGACCCTTCATTCCATTAAAAACATTTTGCTAGAATTGCCACATTAAAAGATTAATGACTCTTTAGATTATTTAGAAGGCATCATAAGAAAAGTAAACTACAGACCCACAGCTCCTGAGCAAAATGCTGGTAAACCAATTCTAATAACATATTAAAAAAGGATTATATACTATGGCCAAACGAGATTTATTCCTAGAATGCAAGGTTGGTTTAACATTTAAGATTCAACTAACGTATATATCAATAGAATAAAGGAGAAAAAAATGTGTGAACATCTTAATGGGGGAGGGGGAAGCATTTGACAAATCCAACACCCTCTTAAGATAAAAACATTCAACAAATTAGTCAGTAGGAGCTCCCTCAACCTAACAGACGGGATCTATGAAAAACCCACAGAGAAGAGCATATTTAATGGTCAAAGACTGTTGGCATTTCCCCTGAGATCAGGAATAAGACAAGGATGTCTGCTCTTGCCCTGTGTAAACATTATGCTGGAGGTTCTAATCAGGGTCACTAAGTAAGAAAAAGAAAGAAAAAGCCTATAGATTCCAAAAAAGAAGTAAGATGATTTCTGTTGAAAATAGCTTGATCATAATAGAAAATCCTCTGAAATCCACTATAAAACTACCAGATCTAACAAGTTCAGCAAGAATAGACAAGTTCATCCTAAAAACACAGATTTTAGGTGCAAGAAAATGTGTTGTATTTCTTTCTATACATTAGCAATGAACAATCCGAACATGAAATTAGGAAGACAATTCAATTTACAGTAGCCTCAAAAAGAATACAATATTTAGGAATAACTTTAACAAAATAAATATAAAACTTGCTTTCTGAAAACTATGAAACACTGTTGAAAGAAATTACAGAAGACTTAAGAAATGGAGACATCCCATATTTGTGAGTGGAGAAGTTTAATATTGTGAATATGGTACTATTCCCCAAATTGATCTTTACATTCAGTACAATCCATCTACCTTTGTTGCAGAAATTGATAAAGCTGATCCCAAAATTTATATGGAAATGCAAGAGACTCAGAATAGCCATAGCAGTCTTGAAAAAGAACAAAGCAGGAGAACTCATACTTCCCAATTTTAAAACTTACTACAAACTCAGCTTCACTAATTAAGACAGCAGGGTATTGGCATAAGGATAGGCATAAGTCAATGGAACAGAAGTGAGATTCCGAAAAATGAACCATTACATTTACGGTCAACTAACTTTTCATAAGAGTACCAAGACAATTCAGGGCACCTGGCTGGCTCTTAGAAGAGCATGCAAATCTTGATCCTGGTGTCATGAGTTCAAACCCCATATGGGGTGTAGAGATAAACTTAAAAAAAAATGAGTAAGAAGACAATTCAATGGGGAAAGAATAGTATTTTCAACAAATGTTGTTGGAATAACTAGATGTCCATATATAAAAGAATCCATTTGAACCCCTTCCTTACATCATACATAAAAATGAATGCAAAATGGATTATAATCCTAATGTAAGAGCAAAAACTAAAAACTCTTAGAAGAAAGCATAGGAGTAAATCTTTGTGACCTTGGATTAGGTCTGAAATCTTAAAAGCACAAGGGGCAAAAGAAAAAAAAAAAACAGATAAACTGGATTTCATCAAAATGAAAAACTTTTGTGTATCAAAGGATACCCATCAACAAAGTGAAAAGACAACCTACTTTGGGAATGGGAGAAAATAGTTGCAAATCATATATCTGATGAAGGACTTATACCCAGAATATATAAAGAACTCTCACAGCTCAACAAAAAGATAACCATATTAGAAAATGGGCAAGGGACTCAAATTTCTCCATAGAAGATATACGTATGGCCGACAAGCCCATGAAAGATGCTTGTCGTCATTAGTCATTAGGGAAATACAAATTAAAACCATAATGATACACACTTCACATCCAGTAGGATGGCTGTCATCAATAAAATAGGATGAGTTGCCTGGCTGGCTTGCTTGGTAGAACATGTGACTCTTGTTCTCGGTCATGAGTTCAAGCCCCACACTGGGTATAAAGATTACTTAAGAAAATAAAATCTTTCAGGGGGCACCTGGGTGGCTCAGTCAGTTAAGCGTCTGACTCTTGGTTTCAGCTCAGGTCATGATCGCAGGGTTATATGATTGAGCCCTACACTGGGTTTTGCATGGGAGCAGAGTCTGCTGGACATTCTCTCTTCCTTTCTGTCTCCCTTTTCCCCTCCCCCTACTTGTGCTCGCTCGCTTGCTCTCTCTCCTCTCTCTCTCTCTCTCAAGTACATAAATTTTTAAAAAGTAAAAATCTTTTTTTAAAAATGGGAAATAAATGTTGGTGAACAAGTGGAGAACTTGGAATCTTCATATATTGCTAGTAGGAAAGTAAAATGGCATAACCACTTTGGTTCTTCAAAGTGTTAAACATATATTATCATATGACCTAGCAACTGCATTTCTAGGTATATACCCAAATGCAGTAGAAACACATCCATGCAAAAATTTGTATGCAAATATCCATAGTAGCAACATTCATAATAGCCGAAAAGTGGAAATAATCCAAATATCTATCAATTTAAGTGGATAAAAAATGTGCTTTATCCATTAAATGGAATATCATTCGGCAACAGAAAAGAATAAAAGTATTGATACATGCTCCAACATGGTTGAACCTTGAAAACATGTTAAATGAAAGATGCAGGTCAAAAAGACCACGTGTGATTCCATTTATGTGAGATGTCCATTATACTCAAATTTAGGGAGACTGAAAGACTAAAGCGTGGTTGCTTGGGGTTGGGAGATTTGGGGGTTGGGGGGGTTGGGTAATAGGTACAGAGGTTTTTTTGGAGAGGATTAAAAAGTCCTAAAATTTATTGTGGTGATGGTTGCACAATTCTGTGAATATACTAAAATCACTGAATTGTGCACTTTAAGTGTGTGAGTTCTGTGTTGTGCAAATTCTCTCTCTGAAGTTGTTTACAAAAGTGCCAGTAGAGAGAGTACGAACAAGGCAATCCCAGAAGAAGAAATACAAATGGCTGATAAGTATATGGAAGGTGCTCATTCATTGTTGTTAATTAGATGATCTGTAAATTAAAACAGTTCATTAACTTCTTATTGCTCCTCAGACTGACAAGAACAAAGACATTATCTATGGTTAAATGTCTTATAGGAATATTATACCTTTTGCTAAGAATATAGCCCTAGAATTATAATTAATATTATCCAACTGAGCAGACTCTAGAAATCACTCAGTCCAATCCCTTTATTGACAGCAAAGAATAAAGGATTCATTCAAATTAAAAGTTAATTAATGGCATAGGCAGTCTCCACTCCAAGTTTCCTAACTTTTCTTTTGGGAGTCACGCTTTTCTACTAAATTGGATACAACAAAAGCTGGGACTGAGAAGTGCCAGAACTCTGGAGGGAATGATCAGGATTTCTAGGATCTTTTTCTTATTAATGGTACCAAATTAATGTTGTGGATGTTCATTTTACTTGTAATTGTTTAGTATTTTACAATAGCTAGGCTTTTTATTCATTAAATTTTGCTTTCTGCTTCTTGGTTTCTTATTTTTGGATGCTTTCCTGTTTTGTTTAAAATTCCCCATACAGCCTGTAAATTGAGTCTGTCCTACACTGTGTTTTGGAATATCCCATTTTTTTGATGGATAATCTTTGGAAATATGTTTTGGAATATCCAGTCATTGATTAAATAAACCTTCTCCTATCCTGTTACTATAGTTTCTGTTTCATACTTTCTTTCTGAGTACCATACTTACTAGACAATCATCTTAGATCTGTTTCAAAATCTGATACTACAATTTTGTGGTTTCTCATGTTTTTTCCAGAGAATAACATTTGTTTCTTCCTCAAACTTCTCATCTATGTAATGTACCGTAGTATAACTTCTTACCTGTGACCTGCTGAAATTTATATCTTTAAATATCTATTTTTTTTCACAGGACAACTAATTTTGCTAGGTACTATATTTTGCTTATCTTTTTGTGCCTAGATCTTAGTAAACGATTTGTTAGATAAATACTTGAAACATTGAACTTTTATGTTGTCTAGTTAACATTTTATTCTTTTTTTTTTTTCCTCCCCTGTCCCCAGAATTTGGAGTTGTCTGCTTACTATTTTCCGCAACACTAGTTTATTTCCCACCCCGGCCTCCACTTCCTCCCAGTGTTGCTGCAGCTAGCCAGCGGCTGAGTTATCGGCGGAGCTTTTGTAGATTATTAAGGTAAATATACTTTGAATTGCTGAGTGGTTTTGACTAGTACCTTCAAGATAATTTCACATTTATTTAAGATAATTTAGCATGATAATTTTTCAGCAACCCATTAATCAGGTTACAAATAACTGATAAAATACTGATTAAATATTTTAGAGGGGTTTCCTATCAGAAATCTATTTTTAATATTTGTTTATTTGAGAGAGAGAGAGAAAGCACACACACGTGCATGGTGGGGGTGGGGTGGAAGGAAAGAGAGAAAGAATTCCCAAGCCAACTCCAGGCAGAATGTGGAGCCCATTGTGGGGCTAGATCTCAAGACCCATGAGATCATGACCTGAGCCAAAATCAAGAGTCAGATGCTTAACTGATTGAGCCACTCAGGCAACCCTATCAGATATCTATTTTTTAAAATCACCAAAAGCAGGGGCGTCTGGGTGGCTCAGTCAGTTAAGCATCTGCCTTTGGTTCGGGTCATGATCCCAGGCTCCTGGGATCGAGCCCCACCTTGCCTTGGGCTCCTTACTCAGTGGGGAGTCTGCTTCTCCCTCTCCTTCTGACCCCCCACCCTGCTCATGCTTACTCTCTCTCAAATTAATAAATAAAAACTAAAAAAAAATTTTTTTTTAATAAAAAAATGGTCTTCTTTTTGTAGAGGAATCCAAACCACTTCATTGCTGGCCAAAGTGATAACTCAGATCTGTGGGAAAAAAATTTTTTTAATGTTTATTGGACATTTAATTCTGATTTTGGGTAACTAGTTCTTTTATTCCTTTTTTGACTGATAGGAAGAAACCTCCTATAAAATTTACTATGTATTTGTTGAACATATCCCTTAATATTGTCCACTTAATTGTCTAAAAAATTTTTTTTACACAGCGTTCATTTTGCTCTGCTGCAATAAATTGCAGTTGCCATTCATTGTAAAATTTGCAGTGTATTTTCTTCTACTCCCTAATTTTTTCTTCATAAATATTCAAATAAGCAAATTACGAAGTTATATCTGTGTAGAAAAGAAGTAATGAGAACTGTGTCAGTTCATTGACACCAAGATCAGTGACTGGTTATAATACTAGAAACAACACATACTACACCCAGCACATTAAAATAAAATCTTACCCTATGCAGCAGTTAAACTGAAATGTAGTCCTACAAAAAAATAAAGTTGTGGTTAATAGGGAAGTACTTTTCACCGCTTCTGTTTTTAAATTTGGTTTAAATTAATTACAATGAAATAAAATGAAAAATTCAGTTTCTCCATCGTACTACTAGCCACATTTCAAATGTTCAAAAGCCACATGTGGCTGGTGCCTACCAAGTTAGCATAGCTAGGTAACATTATTTTTCAAACTTTGGTTCACAGCCACCTAATTTAGTAGGTAGACCATCTTTAAAAAAAAAAAAAAGTAGAATGAAATAAGCTAGAATGGAAATATTGTATCACATGTAGTAAGGGTACATAGTTTTTGTTTCAGAATGTATGTATGTATGTATATGTGGGGAGATCACAATGTAAAAATATACTGCTTTGGAATACAGCAAAAAGTTTTTAAAAATCACATCTCTGTAGCATGTAGAATATTGCCTTCCACATAATAGGCAAATAAAAATATTTGTTAAATTGGATAGTGACCAGTGGCACATACGTGTAGGTGATTGTTCAAAATGATAGTTTTTTTTTTATTTAATGCTATTTAAGTTCTTCCCTGCGCAGCACCAGAGTTTAGATAGCAATCAGGAAAGGTAGATTAGCTCATACTATGCCAGGCTAATAATTTGGACTAGTCTGTGGAAAATGAGAAGTCACTGAAGAATGAGTTGTGTAAAAAATTGTTCTGACAAGGAAAAACAATATAAAATTATCACTGTGACCACAGTAAATGCCCTGTGTTTGCTTCTAATTACTCTAGAGTCAAGATCGCTATTCTCTGTTAAAACCATAGAGTATAAGATCTTTCCTCTCTATAAAACACCCTTTTCACCAATGCCTAGCTTTCCTTCATTTCTTCCATTATTTGTTATGTCTGCAGAATTGCCCCTAGGGGAAGCCTCTCTAGGGGAGTTCTTTAGACCTGCCATGCCCCCCGCCCAAGCCTATCAATGTAATTTTCTCTGGCCCTTCAAAGGATGCCTGAATAATTGTAGATTCACATGCAGTTGTAGGAAATAATACAGAAGGATAACATGGGCTCTTTATGCGGTTTCCCCCAGTGATAACAACTTAAAAAACAGTTGTACAGTATCACAGCTAGAAAATTAACATTGGTAGTCACAATAAAGAACATTTCCATCATCACAAGGATCCCGTTTTTTGTTCTTTTGTAGCCACGTTTACATCCCTTCCACTCTACAGGCAAACACGGATTTGTTCTCCATTACTATAATGTCGCTTCAAGAACGTTATATATGGGCGCCTGGGTGGCTCAGATGGTTAAACGTCTGCCTTGGGCTTAGATCATGGTCCTGGAATCCTGAGATCGAGTCCCGCATCAGGCTTGTTGCTCAGTGGGGAGCCTGTGTCTCCCTCTGCCTCTCTCTCTCTCTGTCTCTTATGAATAAATAAGTAAAATCTTGAACAAAGAAAAAAGAATGTTATATAAATGGAATAGTATAGTACTTAAATTTGGGAATTGGCTTTTAAAAAAAGGAGAGAGAGAGAGAGAGTCAAACCAGAAAACTGACTCTTAACTGTAGAGAACAAACTGAGGGTTGCTGGAAGGGAAGCATGCAGGGAATAGGTAAAATGGGTGATGGGTTAAGGAGGGCACTTTTAGTGATGAGCGCTGAGTGTTGTGTGTTTAGTGATTTATTTTATAATTTAGTGATGAATCACTAAATTCTACATCAGAAACTAATATTACACTGTTAACTAACTGGAATTTAAGTAAAAACTTTTAAAAAAGCCTGTTTCTCTGGAGAGTCAACTAGGTTGTTTTGTGTATCCGTAGTTACTCCTTTTTCTTGCTGAATACTATGGTGTGGCTGTACAGTTTAACTGTTCACCTGTTGAAGGACATCTGTGTTAATTCTAGGGGTGTTTTGGCAATTACAAATAAACATTCATATGCAGGTTTTTGTGGGGACATAAGTTTTCATTTCTCTGGGATAAATGCCCAGCACTGCAATTGCTGGATTTTGTAGTGGTTGCATATTTAGGTTTTTTTGTTTGTTTGTTTTTTTAAAGCCTGCCAGCCTATTTTCCAGAACGGCTATATCATTTTTCATTACTGTAAGCAATACACAAGTTATCTAGTTTCTGTGCATCTTTACCAGACTTTGGTGTTATCACTTGGTTTTTGTTTTAGCCATTTTGATAGTTATGTAGAAAAGTACAATCTCTGTAGAGGACAGTTGGCATTATCTATTGAAGTTACAAATACACATATTCTTCTGACGTGGCAGTTGCCCATATGTACTAGTGCACATGTGAAATGATTATTAAGAGCAAAGAAATAAATATATATATGTGTGTGTGTGTATAATATCTTTATATATTATATGTGTAATAAAATACAGATCTCTCAGTGAGGGCTGGTTAAATAAATTGTGATTTAGCAACATAGTAGAGTACTACGCAGCTCTGAAAGAGAATAAGGAAACTCTTTATTGACTATGGAAGAGTTCTAAGACTTATTAAGTTAAACTGAGGGTTTTGGAGGGGTGTGGGTGGGGGTTGGGTGAGCCTGGTGGTGGCTATTAAGGAGGGCATGTATTGCATGGAGCAGTGGGTGTGGTGTAGAAACAATGAATCTTGGAACACTGAAAAAACAAAAATTTTAAAAAAAGTAAAATTCAGCAAATGGTTGTAATATGGTACCATTTATATAGAAAGATTGGGGAAAGAATATATACACACACACACAGTTGAGAATATATATATTAATATGTACATATCTATAATATATATACAAATTTATATAAAGAGTATACAAATTTTTATATATAATAAATTATATGTAAGTACAAATTTATGATAATATATAAACTCTTATATAAGAATATAATATATAGGGGTACCTGGGTGGCTCAGTGGGTTGGGGCCTCTACCTTCGGCTTAGGTCGTGATCTTAGGGTCCTGGGATCAAGCCCCACATTGGGCTCTCTGCTCAGTGGGAGCCTGCTTCCCCCTCTCCCTCTACCTACCTCTCTGCCTACTTGTGATCTCTGTCAGGTAAATAAATAAAATATTTTTTTAAAAAGAATATAATATATAAATTTATATAATATATAATATACGCATTTGTATATATATTTAAGCTTGTATATTACTAACTGTTTCTGGGAGTTACCCAAGAAAGTGCTAACGCTGGTAATTGTGGGAAGAGAGGAATGGGGTAAGAGGGACATGTTTTCCCCATATTTTTATACTTTTTGGTTTTGAGCCATAACATTGTATTGCCTATTAAAAATCATTGACTAATTCAGAGTTTAATAGCAATAAAATAAAAATTAAAACTGCTCTCTGAAAATAATAAAACTAGCAAATTATGTATTTCTTTTTAAGCTTTGATTTTTTTCCCCTCCACCTCATTCAATGGAGAATAATTTATCCTTTCAAGTAAAAGCTTTTTTTAACTATACCTACCTATTTACTCTATGAAATAGTGTTGGTAATTCATTTATATAATGAACACTGACAACTTTAAACAATATAAACAAAAAGGATTTTTGTAAAAAACAAAAAATTTAAAGAACTTTGAATTTATTAAGAAATTGACAAATATTTTCTATTTATGATTCTGGTGTTCTAGTTTCCAAAGGACTTACATTTTTCATGAGTAAGAATTTAAAATCAAGATTTTGAATCTGTAATAATATTTTCTTTTACTTCTCTTTTACAGCAACATGAGATTTTTGATGATTGCTTTAGCGTATGCCATACCACTTGGTGTATTTGCTGGTTGGTCTGGAGTTCTGGACTTAATTTTAACACCAGTGCATGTTAGCCAGGTAAACATTTTATTTCTTTATATGTTGTAGGTATTTTTAGTTCATTTAAATTATAAATATTGTCTGTATGTCTTGGTTTAAACTTCAGGCCTGGGTAAAACATTATCTGATACCATTTTTGCAAAAGCAAAATCCTTAGGAGATAGTTAAAAATAATACTGATTTTCTTCCTGGATTTTGTTAACAGCCATGAACTTTACATTTATTGCCTGCTGTTAATGATATTAAAAACAGAAAAATAGAGGAGGAAAGCTTCGTTTTGTTGACTGCATCCTAATCTTGCTTCACAGTTTATAAAGACTTAAGATCCCATCGTCATATATATGGCTACTTTGTCATTTTAATTTCTCACTCTCTCTAGTCTCAGAATCTCATTTCTTTAAAAGTAACCATTTCACTTATGTGCTTCAGGCCGTGTATTCCTTCTTCTCACTTCCAGGTAGCATGGTAGAAAGGAGCAGAGGGCTTCGAAGGGGCAAATGGAGCAAGTCCAGCACACGGACATGCCATCCCACTGTATGAATGAGCAGCGATCTGTCCATTCTGCTTATGATGAACATTTGGATTGTGTACAGTTTTTGACTGTCACAAACAAGGTGTAGGAATGTTCTCGCACACTCTTGAGGCACCTCTATAAATATTTCTGTTTGGATATCTAGCTAGAAATAGAATTACTGCTTATGGTATATGCCTGGTTTAATAGATGATCCCAAACTTCCCCAAAGTGGTTGTATCAGTTTATAGTCCTACCAGCAGGAGGTGATGTTTCTCATTGCTCCACATCTTCACCAACAGTTGGCAGTGTTAGTCTTTTTAAAGTTAGAAATGCTAATGGCTGTGCAGTTAAATGCCATTGCAGTGATATCTTCTTAAGTGTTTGTTGAACATTTGAATATCCTTTCTTGTGACACACTTGTTCAAGTCTCTTGCCCACTCTTGGACTGCCTTTTCCTTACTGATTGTAAAGAAGAGAGCTGTGCAGAAGGGGCCTCCCCAGAAGACTATGACTATGTGGGGTCCTCAGCAAGTCTTGGCTGAGAGATGGACTGCACATATAAAGGGCAAATATCCCAGAGGCTTAATGGAAAAATGGCTAGGAGGTGTAAAGCAGAACAAATAGATTAGAGGGCAAGCAGTGCTGGGCTCTTAGATTCTCACTCAGCTGGAATGGTAAGACCTCATTAATGCCTTGTTAATACACTTGGGCTTCTTCTGAGACACAAGAATCTAGGCCAGAGTTTAGAATCAAGAACCGTACTCTAAATAAAATAATACACTTAGACCCACAGTACACAAGCCCTGACAAAAATTGGCTGAGGAGACAATTTGGAGATTGAGTCCTACCAAGTGAGGGGAGCTTATAAAACACTTTGGTTTCTACTTACCTACCTTAATAAAACAAAAAATTAAGCCTGTACAAGTTCAAGGTGATCAGTTATTAATTGAACTGTGGACTAACACAAAATGCAAAAATGAACAATTTTAGAGAAAGATAAAAGGATCCAGAATCTTTATATTGTGTCATCCATGGCATGTACCCTACTGTTAAAAGAGAAAAAAAATTAGACAGACAGGAAAATGTGACTCGTATTTATAATGAGGAAGTACTGAATAGAAACCAACTCAGAGGTACACGTTGAATGTAGCACAGAAATGCAGGAGAGAGAAATCTTTGCTTGCTTGAAGTTTATTAATATATATATATATATATATAAAATAAATATACCATACATACCATATTGGACAGTGCAGATCAGAACATTTCTGTCATCATAGAAAGCACCGTTGGATAGGTTTATCATCATTCCTTTCACATTTAAACCTAGAATTGAATTTTGTGCTTGTTATAAGGTAGGAGTTAAGTTTCTTTTTTTTCCCATGTAGGTATCCATTAACATGGTATCAGTTTTTGAAAAGATCATGCTTTTCTCTTTGCTCTCTAGTGTCATCTTTGTCATATTGAAGTGCCCTTATATGCACAGATGCATTTCTAAACTTTTTTCCCTCTAGTTTATTTGCCTATCTTTTATCACTTTTATCTACCCAAGTGTCTCAAGTATTTTAGTGTTATAATAAACTTTGGTATTTTGTAGAATAAATACACCCCTTTATTGGGATTTTTGCTAGAAATTTTTGAATCTCTAAGGTCAGTTCAAGAATTAACTTCTTTGTAATTAACTTCTTTGTGAGCCATATATTACATTTATTAATATATTCCCCTATGTTATCTTCTATAGCTACCTTGTCTGGTAAAATGGCTACTAGCCAACTTGTGTCTATTTAATTTGAAATTTAAATTAGTTGTGGGGTACCTGGCTGGCTCAGTCAGTTAAGCATCTGCCTTCAGCTCAGGTCATGATCTTGGGGTCCTAGGATGGAGCCCCATGTTGTGCTCCCTGCTCAGTGGGGAGTCTGCTTCTCCCTCTGCCCTTCCCCCTGCTCGTGCTCTCTCTCTCTCTCTCTCAAATAAATAAAATCTCTTTAAAAAAAAAGAAATTTCAATTAGTTGAAATGAAATAAAATAAAAATTACTTTCTTAGGTTCTATTTTCTCTAATTTCCTTTGGAGACTCTATATGTTATACTTTCACATTATATGCCCTATGTCTCTTAATCTTTTTTCTGAATTTTCTATCCTTTCGCCTTTCTCTGCTTCAGACTGGCTGTTTCATCTAGCCTTTCTTTCAACTCACTGTTTCAGTTTTCAGCTCTAATATTTTTGTTAAACTCATCTGTAAGTTGTTAATTTCACTTGTGTTCTGAAGTTATAACATTTTTATTTGATTCTTTTTCATAGTTTACAAATTTCTATAGAAGTGCTCAATCTTTTACTTTTTTGAATTATTAAAAATAGTTCCTTAAGTCTCATAATTTCTTGATCTGGATCCCCTGTGGGTCTGTTTATATTTGTGGTATCCATTTATGTTTTCTTACCGCCTTATGAGGTGTGCCTTTATTTTTGACTGAGTGCCAGACATAGTATATAAAAAATTGTAGAGCTCACTTAAGCATCAAGATGATGTTATTTAACCCTAGAAAGAACTATGTTTTTTCTTACAGGACTCTAGGAATCCAGTTTTAGGAATTGAGATAACTGCGTTTCAGTCCCACAAAATACTATTCTATTTTGAGTGTGTGGTATCTTATATAGCCCTTCAAAGTCACCATCTAAAGGCTGAGGTTTCGGGGCACCTGGGTGGCCCAGTCAGTTAAGTGTCTGCCTTTGCCTCAGGTCGTGATCCCACATCCACGTCAGGCTCCCTGCTCAGCGGGGAGCCTGCTTCTCCCTCTCTCTCTGCCGCTCCCCCTGCTTGTGCTCTCATGCACTCTGTCAAGTAAATAAATAAATAAATCTTTAAAAAATAAAAATAAGGGTTGGGGTTTTTTTTACAAGGCCACCCACCCTACAATAGGCCCTAAAGTCAATTTTTTTTTTCTTTCCGAGGCAAGTATTCCAAGCATGCTCAGTTCCAAGAAAGAGTGTAGCACCCATTTATTTATTTTTTCATTTATTATATATTTATTCAGCCCTCTATTTAAAAATTTTATTATTTATACATTTTTTGGGAAGTATAATTGACACACAATGTTACATTAGCTTCAGGTGTACAACATAGTGATTCAGCAAGTCTGTACATTATGCTCTGTTCACCACAAGCGTAGCTCCCATCTGTCACCATACCACACTATTATAGTACCATTGGCTATATTCCCTATTGTAGCACCCATTTAAAAATTCTGATTTTGCAGATTTTATGCTTCTCATTATAAATCTCGAGACACACTTTCAAGTGTCTTTCTCTGTATAAACTCTGAGAGAGAGACAAGGAGTCACACCAGGTATTAAATAAAGTGAAATTTAAAATTAAATGAGGAAGAACAAGGCACTTGGATGGATCAGTTAAGAGACTGACTCTCAGTTTCAGCTGAGGGTCATGTTCTTGGAGTCATGGGATCGAGCCCTGAGTCAGGCTCTGCACTCAGTAGGGAGTCTGCTTAAGATTCTGTCTCTCCCTTTCCCTTGCCCCCCACCTCTGCACTCACTGTCTCTAAAATACATCTTATTTAAGAATTAAAGAAAAATTATAATAAATTAGTGGGTAGAATATTATTAACTAGAGCAAATGTCATGAACAAAGGAAGCAGAAAAGCACCACTGGCCTGAAAGAAGCAGGATTACTACAGTTGGATGCACAGTGGTTCTTCGCCTGACACAGGGCCCCACTCACCCAGGGGATAGATGGAAATGTTTGGGAGGGCCTAATAGCAGCATTAAGTGGGCCTTAGACAATGGATACTAAATGCTGTGCAGGGAGAGGGGCAGTTCTGCAGAACAGAGAATTCTCTGGCCCCAAATGCCAATGATGAAAAAAAAAATGTGGAGATAAATTAAGCTTCAGGCTGTTCTCTTTCTCCTGAGAGTACTTATCTTTGTTCTGGCACCAAACACTGTTAAGTAATTGTATTACTTAGAGTAGGCTAAGCTGCTATGAGAAGTAGAATCCCAGAATTCTGAGGCTTAAGGAATTTAGTTCTCATTTACATCATAATCTAGGACGGTTTGCATAACAATCCAGGACATTTGTCCACAGTTCGGATAGCTCTTTTCCTCCCACTGATTTAGATACCCAGGCTGCTTCCACTCTGCAACAATCCTGTCGCCTAGGACCCTGTCATTGTATGCATGGTTTAGGCTGGTGACTACATCCCGATTCTAGTGGTCGGAAAGGGAAAGGAAAAGGAAGCCGGGAGGAGCTTACAGCCGTCGTCCAGGTTCTCGCCTGAAGGTGGCACACTTTCATTCTGCCCACTTCCATTGAGAACTTGTGCACATAGTCACATGTGTTTGAATGGCCGCTAAAACATACAATCCACCTGAGTGCCTAGGTAGAAGGGAACATTTTGGTGAAGAGGTGTAATGAGAAATATGACTAGGAAAATAATAAATGGTAGAATTTAGTTTGGGCAGCTCTCAAGTGGCAGGTCAAGTTAGGACTTGGCCCTGTAACCACAGTGAAAGCCAGTAACTATTTCTGAGCAGGAAAGTGGAATGATTTGGATAATTATTCTGGCAATAGTGGGCAGAATAGATTGTGGAGACCATTTAAGAAGCTATTACAGGAATCCAGAAGTAAGAAATAAGGTAATAAGCAAGCATGGTGGCCATGGGAAGGGAAAGAGGAGACAAAATGCACTGATACTGTTAGGGACACATGGAATTCCAATGGTAACCAGTAACATGTATTGAACATGTTAGCTTATTTAAGTCTCAAAAAAAAAAAAAATCCTTGTTATCCTCATTATAATAATGAGGAAACTGAGACTTAAGAGTATGAATTGGGGGGGCGCCAGGGTGGCTCAGTGGATTAAAACCTCTGCTTCCAGCTCGGGTCATGATCCAGGGTCCTGGGATCGAGCCCCCCTTTGGGCTCTCTGCTCAGCAGGGAGCCCGCTTCCCCCCTCTCACTCTGCCTTCCTCTCTGCCTACTTGTGATCTCTCTCTGTCAAATAAATAAATAAAATCTTAAAAAAAAAAAAAAAGAGTATGAATTGGGACAGAAGCCAAGTCATAGGAGGAGGTAAAAATACGTGAGTGATGGGTGAATCTAGGCAGTATTTGTAGATTGCTCGAGAAAGTTTGGCCATGAGGGGAGGAAAGACTTAAAGACATTATTAGATAGATGGAGAATCATCATCAGGTGGTAATAACAGCCTTTACTGAGCACTTCCTATATGCTGACCACTGATTTAAATCCTGTACACAAATTATCTCATTTAGTCCATTCTGTGGGTAAGAAGACATAATTTGTCCAGGGTCATAAAGCTGCTAAATGGCAGGGTTGGAAATGTTTTCCCACGAGTGCAATGAGCTATATATTTGAAACCACCTCAAATTGTCTTTCAGTAGTCTCCCTAGGTGCTTAACCCCCATTTCTCATGCTCTCACTTGCTTTCTCTTCTGTGAGTTTTCTCTTCTGTGACTCTTGATACATCTTTAATTGTTGCCAGATGTTTGAGCACCTGATTATTTCCCAGTAGTTTCCTGTATGTTGGTTATATTTAAACCTCTTGGGTCAGCGACCATCTTCTGTCCTTTTCCTGTTTTCTTAAGGGTTCTAGTACAATGTAGCACATACTTGAAAACATTTATTTGTGAAACTGATTATTTTGTTGATTTAAATATTCTGATAAAAGTTAATCAAGAATATACTTACTTAGATAAATTGGATTAGTCACACATGAATCCTTTTATTCATTTTCTTAAATAGTATTTTCTAGATTTGTTGCCATTTAGTTATTGATAAAATATTGAATTATGCCTGTACATAGAAATGCATACATATATATTGAATTATGTATTGATTAGAGAAGATCTTTTTTTTATGCTTTCTTAATTGCAGCCTCATAGTCTTATATTAAATGTGTCTGCCACTTTCTCCACAGGTAGATGCTGGCTGGATTGGATTTTGGTCCATAGTTGGAGGCTGTGTTGTTGGAATAGCTATGGCAAGGTGAGAATATTCTACGTTAACCCTGTGAGTGGGCTGAACCAAAACCAAAAAACAGAAAAATGGCTGCTTTTGATAAATGTTAAGATTCAGGGAAAAATAAAATAGGCAAAGGTCAGAGAAGGGCACTTGTTCAGACTATAAGAAAATTCATATGCAGTAAGAATTTGCTGCTACAAGAAACCTTTCTCAGGAGTAATCTGTCCTAAAATGTTTTTGGAGGATGGAGATGTATTTCCAGTGTAAGCTGCGTCTCTCCCATATTATTGGAGAACAGGATCTACAAGTGAAACCCAGAGAAAGGCATTACAATAATAAAGACAAATTGATTACTTACTGAGAATAGAGAAGAATTGAAAAGAACCATTTGTAAGAGCATCTCTAGAACTTTCCATGAAAAGGGAGGATCTGATTAGCAGAAATTTATTTTCAGTCTTTTTTGGCAGGTACATCCCTGTTTATTCCCTTTTGATGAAAAATGTGCATAAAGACTTCCAGTTTCACCAGACTCCCTTTGATCTTAACCCATTATGACAACACATTTTTAGAATGAGTCAGAAGAAGGAAGAAGTCTCATTTCTTTCTTAAAAAAAAAAAAAAAAAATGGAAATATCACTTATCCAGATGACTGCCTGTAAAACTATTCTTGGTGTTTCCAAGGAGATAATACTCATTCACTTCCCAAATCATTTACCTTGTTTCATCAAAAACAAAATTAGGCAATCAACTTTACCAGAAAGAGAAGAATCTAATTACATATTTGGGGAGATCAAATAAAATATGTAAATCACCTCAGTTTCTAAATACTTAAACATAATTGACACAGGATAATATTATAGCTAGACCTTACAGTTTACATAGTGTTTCTGGGATAATGAAAGAATAAATTGACACTGTAATTTCTAAATCACTCTAAGGTTTTTACAAGTTAGGGAAATATAAGAATAAAATCTAAAAGCTAAAAAAGAGGAATAGGCAGGGAGCATTTGTAGGAAATCACTACATGGATACTGAAATACATTGACCTGTCACATTTGACAGAATCTTATCTAATTTTTCTAATTAAATCTCTAAGCCAATTATAGTGAGTCATCATTAACCAAATCCTATTCTGAGCACCACATAGGTCAAAGAGGGAACTAAGATGTATTAAAAATGACATCTCACATGTACCTTTCTCTTTATATTTTTTCTGTAAACCCTTAATTTTATCTGTATAGAAATAGAGCTAGAGGAGAAACTGAGAGTGAGGACATTTCTGTTTTTAATTTGTTGAAATGGAAGTTCTAAAAAAATACTACCCTTACTTTGGGATCTGAAATCAATTGTAGCTATCTGCTAGGCCTAGAATCAATTTTAAAGTTATGTTCATAACACCATTTGGGGGATCCCTAGAACAGAATCTCCTTATAGACATTAGTGCTTAGGTGATTTTTTTTTTTGTAATTATGGTACTAAAGGCCACTACCAAATGTCCTAATAGCTACACTATTCAAATGGTATTAACCCATTTGAAAGGACTAGGTCTACAAAAATAGGTAAGAGCACAGTGGTTAGCTTAGTCTTGTGTGATTTGGCCCTATCAGTGTCCTCACTGCTCAACTTTTTTCGGTTCTGATTGTACCAGAAAACTATTTTATTCTCTCATACCTCGCCATCTGCCTGTGAGACAAGTACATTCTTGCAGCATACCAAAACATAAATCAAAAAAGTGTTTGGTGGGCGTGAAATTATAACAGTTTTTGGATTTTCTTGAGGGAAATTTCTACCAAGCTGTAGAACCTTTTTCAGAGTACATAAGAATTTTCTGCTAGTGAACTTTCATAGTCGAGAACAAACCTAAGTCATTGGGCAAAGATGCATCCATTTTTTCCACCAAAAGATGGCATCAGCTGTCATAGGAAGCTATTTTAGCCTAGATAAGACTTACAGACATGATTAGCCTTATCACATCAAATAAGCATGAAACACAAAAGATAGTATTGAAAGTTCCAAGAGGGACACTAATGTAATTACAATAGAAATTAAGATCAATTTTAAAGCTTCAAAGTAGAAGAAACATGGTAGATGTTATATTTGGGATGGAATCGCTTTTTCTACGATAGAAACAATTCTCAAGGACAGAGTAAGTTGTATGTAGGCACAGCCAGAGAATTGTGCCTGTACAGCCAACAACTACAGGTGAGGAAAAGTGGTCGGCAAATAGAAAAGTTGTGGGTCTTAACTAAATAATAAGCATCTCTACCATTTGCCTTTTTATTTCATGTTAATTCAGAGAAAAGCAGGAATTTTGAAAGCTTAAAATGCTATGAAACATAAGTTACAACCTTTATAGGATAGTATTCGTTATTCCAGAGCTACATTCTTGCTTTCAAGAGCTTACAGTCTAATCGGAAGACAAAAAATAAACACATGCAAAAACAAGAGAAATGCCAATAGAGATAAATGCCGTGAAGAAACAGGGTATGGAGATGGGATGAATGGTGAGGACTTCTTCCATGAGTGTGGAGTCTTATTGAACTTACTGAGACCTGAACGACCTGTGGAGTAAGCCGGAGTGAGTCATGTCAGGAATGGGAGGAACCAGCATTCCAGGCAAACAGGACAAAGGCAAAAGCTACATCTTGCTGTGGGAAACAACCCTCGCTTGTACAAGAAACAGAAACAGGGCTGCCCAACTGGAGAATAGTTAGGCAGAAGGAGAATGGAGGCAGAGACCAGATTATATAGGAGCCCAAGGGGCTCTAGGGGCAAGCATTTCTATTCTCTGAGTTTGAATTTGGAGAGAGCCATCTTTGCCAGTTTATGTCAACAAGTTAGCCTGTTTTCTAAAACTAGAATAGTAGGTGCTCATTATAGAATTTTGGGAAGTATAGAAAAATATTTGAGGAAAGTAAAAGTAGCATTTAAAATCACAGAATCCAGGGGTGCCTGGGTGGCTCAGTGGGTTAAGCCTCTGCCTTCAGCTCAGGTCATGATCTCAGAGTCCTAAGATCGAACCCCGCATCAGGCTCTCTGCTCAGCAGGGAGCCTGCTTCCCGCCCCTCTCTGCCTGCCTCTCTGCCTACTTGTGATCTCTCTCTTTGGCAAATAAATAAATAAATCTTAAAAATAATAATAATAAATAAAAAATAAAAACACAGAATCCATCCTGTCAGTTACAGATCTTGAGCAGAGATCACATTTTGTGTGTTTTGTAAGAGGAAAAAAATACCTGCCACAAAGTAACATTTATCACATACATACAAAATAAAATGTACCAGTTAAAAAAAGTTTTGTTACTTGCTTTAAAAAGAACTCATGGAAATTTCTTCAAGAAAGCATTGTTTAATGAAAGTGTGTCATTAATTTTTAAATAGTATCTTAAAAATCTGGGTAGGCTTATAATAGAACGTTGTTTCTTTTCAGGTTTGCAGATTTTATCAGGGGTATGCTGAAACTAATTCTTCTCCTCCTGTTTTCTGGGGCTACCCTCTCATCCACGTGGTTCACCCTGACCTGTTTGAACAGCATCACACACCTGCCTTTAACCACAGGTAAACAGAGACTATTTTGAACTTTGAATAGATATTTTCAGTTCATGAAAATATATATAACCCAAAAGTAGGAATTTTTCTCGTTTTCTATTCTATAGAAATAGAATAAGTAATTATAGTTATAAAACTATAAAAATTATAAAACTAATAAATGTACAAAAATATTTCCCAAGTCCAGGCATCAAACTATCTTTCCAACTAAAAAGAGTTCAAGGACCACCTAGGTGACTCAGTGGGTAAGCCTCTGCCTTCGGCTCAGGTCATGGTCTCAGGGTCCTGGGATCGATCCCCACGTCAGGCTCTCTGCTCAGCAGGGAGCCTGCTTCCCCTTCTCCCTCTGCCTGCCCCTCTGCCTACTTGTGTCTCTCTCTGTCAAATAAATAAATAAAATCTTAAAAATAAAAAGAGTTCAAGAAATAATGAAAAATAGTTTCACTGGTATTTTACCTATGGAAAATAAGTATAATCTTTAGTCTAAAGTTATATATAGCATGGAAAAGCCTATATTCTTTTAAAATTCATATCAGAGCATAATTCAGAGATTTTTATCTTCTTTATAGCCATTACATCATTGTTAAGAAATAAGGAAAATGAGTAAAGGCATAAAGCTTTAATGTTTGAAGTATATACCAGTAAAATTTCTTCCACCAACACCTATAGATTATTCAGTCTTCTTATATCGTTAATATAAAACAAAACTTACTGGCAAATACCTATTAGAAGTATATTATAGGCAGCTTACTTAGCTCATCTGATTGACCTGAAATATTTATAGTTGCTATTGCACTGTTATTAATAGTATCATTTTGGGGGTCTGCATTAGCTTTCTATGGCTGCTGCAACAAGTTACCACAAATATAGTAGCCTAAAATGACACAAATTTATTGTCTTACATTTGTCGATTAGAAGTCCAACCTGAGTCTCAGTAGGCAAGAGTCAACCTCCAGGGAAGAATCCACTCCTTGCCTTTTCTAACTTCCAGAGGCTGCTGACATTCCAGGGTTCGTGGCACCATTCCTCCATCTGTAAAGTCAGCCATGGGTCAAGTTCTTTTCATACAACACACCTGCACCTTTCCTCGAAGTCACATCTTCATCTGAGCTCTCATCTTCTGCCCTGCCTTCCACTTTTAAGGATCCATGTGATTACCTTGAGTGCACCCAGATAATCCAAGATAATCTCCACATTTTAAGGTCTAGTGAATAGCAACCTTAATTCCATCTGCGGCCTTACTCATACATAGACTAAAGGGACCTTCCTCTCATGGAGTCCCCATAAAACATACATGCCACTGGGCAGTAGGTCCCTGTAGAGCTACTTTCAGACTCTTGTGTACTCTTATCCATGCAAGTGCTTGTTACAACAAATAATCCTACAATCCTCCAGTCTACCCTTATAACAAATAAACCCGTAATTAAACACATAATCCAATAGGTGGCTATTACTTGCAGATGGATTAAAAAATCTGCATCTTTAGCAGAATTCCTTTTGTTAAAGGAAAGGAAAGGGAGAAGCAATAACAGAGCTCTCTTGGTCTATAAAATGATCTGTCATAGTATCCCAATTTGCATGTATGTGCTCTGTAATAAAATGACCAGCAATTTATATATCAGTTTATATATCAATTTATATACCAAATTTTTCAAAGATAGCCTTTATTTTAGATATCCGTCTGCCCTGGAGTACCACAGCAAATTCACAAGGGCATCATGGCTTATTTTAAATTTCTGAAGGAAACAGGGATATTCCCTATCTGTCAGACCCTTTGTGAACCTCTAGTTCGAGAGAGTGAGTGCCCAGTCTCATCATTAGATCCCTGCTGCATTCTTTTTGATAACATCATATCTTTGAAAAGTTTGGTTTCCCGCAGTGGCTGTGATAAAAAGTAAATACCGCACAAAAATCAGGAACAGGATATAAGGGTGGGTGTCAGTCTGATTCTCAGGTTTGATTCCAAGATTTGAGAAGTCATGCAGTGCCCATCAGATTGCCCATATCTCATTAGTAAGTGATTGTGGTTATTTGAGAATGCAATAAAAATATATTTCTTTCAATATATGGGTATTATTTTTTAAATGGCCACTAAATTGTTAGGACATACACATTTATTAAATGGTTTGGCCCCAACTATGTAATTAACAGAATGGTTATTTATTTCTCTTGGCCTTGGGCATACTGAGGCACTAAGTGTGCTGTAAAGGCAGGTTTGGAAAATTTCTACCCTGTACCATCCTGCCAGGAATCCCTCTCTTTAATTTTTATTGTTTTGCCTATAAAACTCAGTCATCCAGAGTAATAGCTTTTGGATAATGTGTACTTTTTATATACTAACATTCCTACATTAAGGTTTTGGAACAATTTTGGCAAGTATTCTGAGCCAGAATTTTTTGTTTTATTTTATTTTATTCGGGTATGATTTCATAATTTAGCAGTTGCACAGCATTCTGGTGGAATAGTTTTAGTTTGCAACCCTTTTGAGTACGTTACACTCAGATGTGTGTGTGTGTGTGTGTGTGTGTGTGTGTGCATGTGTTACTGTATGTCAAGTACGTATCTGTTAGATTCTACAAGAACAAAGTTGTGGGTACATAATGAACATATATTTGCCCTTGAATTAAGTGTAGAATATTCATTGTAAGACATTACGTTCATGAAATTTTATGTGTTTTCTATTTGCTATGATAAAAGTAACAGTTTTATCTCTGGTTGGGGGCATCAAGAAAATTTATTTTTTACCTCCTTTTTTGTCTAGATCTGTAATAATGAGCGTGTTTTACTTTTACTTATTTCTTTTATATTTTACTTGTATAATCAAAAAAATGTGTTGAAAAGTATACATCTTTTTATTTTTATTTATTTTTTTAATAATTTTTTTATTTTTTTATAAACATATAATGTGTTATTAGCCCCAGGGGTACAGGTCTGTGAATCGCCAGGTTTACACACTTCACAGCACTCACCATAGCACATACCTCCCCACCACCCTTTCCCTACCCCCCTTCCCCTGGCACCCCTCAGTTTGTTTTGGGAGATTAAGAGTCTCTTCTGGTTTGTCTCCCTTCCGATCCCATCTTGTTCCATTTATTCTTTTCCTACCCTTCAAAGCCCACACGTTGCATCTCCACTTCCTCATATCAGGGAGATCATATGATAGTTGTGTTGTCCCATTGACTTATTTCACTGAGCATAATACCCTCTAGTTCTATCCACGTTGTCGCAAATGGCAAGATTTCATTTCTTTTGATGGCTGCATAGTATTCCATTGTATATATATACCACATCTTCAATCCATTCATCTGTTGATGGACATCTAGGTTCTTTCCATAGTTTGGCTATTGTGGACATTGCTGCTATAAACGTGCGGGTGCACATGCCCCTTTGGATCACTGCGTTTGAGTATACATCTTTTTAAATCTTAAAGGAAAGTTGATATAGGTGACCCTGGTCAGGACTATGTTTTTCCAGTCTGTCCTTGAAAATAATTATGTTGGACAGAAAGGAAAGCAGGATTCTAAATTAAATTAAGGCCAGAACTGAAAGGTTGAATCTGATGTAGCCATCTTCACAACCACCGAATTTATAAATTCTACTGTTCTTTCCAATTGCAAGTCAGTTTTTGAATGTCACTTAGAAACTCCTGAAAGAAAGAAAAAAAAAAAAGAAACTCCTGGTAGATACTTCTTTAACTTATACTGCATTAAAAACTAGATTTTCACATTCCTTTCCTGAATGATCATGGTGGGTATTTTTTTTCTCTTTCCTGATACTTACCACCTAACCGTTACCCGAGTGTGTCTTATCTCCCCTGCCAATCTCAAAATCTGGAGCATGGACTTGTGCGTTATCATTTCTGACTCCAACTTTCACCCCACTACTTAGCACAAGCCCTGAATGATGAATGAATGAAGTGTATATTATCTCCATTTTGAATCTCAGTAGATAGGACTTATTGCCAGTAATAGCAACCGTGGTCACTCTGTTACTCAGCACTAGCTGTAAGCAGGCAAAAGGGCACATTTTAATGGAACCAATGGAGAATTTGAATAAATCTGTCACAGATACTCTTACTGCCTTTATAAAAATCTGACCTAATTCCTTTTAAGTAAAAGAGGTTTCATGAAAGGGAACTTACAACAAAATCTAATTATAGACAAATCTAGACCTTTAGACTGATATTTAAAGCCAGTAACGGCAAATTCATATTTCTTTTTTACCAGAGTCATTCTTTTTTTTTTTTAAGGAGGAAAATATCTAGTCTTTCCCCCATTTCTAGTAAATTTAGTATTCCTGTTGTTACTTTTAAATAATGGAAGAATCTACATGAAGAATGTGAAAATATATGCATTAATTATAATTATTGACATAATAAATTAAAGCTAGTTAATTTTGTTAACCATGTGTTATAAGTGCTGGTACTATTAAAACCATCTGTTGCAATATTTTTTGTGATCTACTGATCTTGATATTATTGTTGCCATCTCTATGGAAAAAAAAAAACAGGATCATTCCATTCTATCTAGAGGTGCACTGTTTTGATACACGTACTTGCCTATATACATCCCCTTGGAGGCTATCAGTAGTATGCTTTTATTTCTTTGAGGAAACTCAGTATTTAAAATTGCATTATGTCTTTATTAATTCAAGTGTCTTCAATACGGCAGATAAATTAACTCATGACTAGATAATGTGAGTTTCAAAATCTTGAAGCTTATTCTGTATACAAAATTATGAAAAGACATTTTTCACCTTATCTGAAAAGTAGGTATCTAGTCCTGTTAGCCACAACTCACACAGTCATTTTTCACTGAACAGATAAACGCTTGGAAAATGGCATTTTGAAAAATGTTGGCACTTTGGTGTTGAGTTTGCTGAAACAATATAATTTGCGTTTTAGCGGAAGTTGCCTTAGGAGGTTCTTCATCTAATTCAAGTTACTGGAAGACCACAGCAGCAAGGTCAGAAACAGATAGTGAGTGGGGAGTAAGGGGGGACAGATAAGC